TTTTTTTTTTTTGATGAGATTAATGTTTAAATTACTGGACTTCGAAAAAGGTAGATGACCTTCCATAATGTGGGTGGGTCTCATGCAATCAGCTGAAGCTCTTAATAGACTAAAGACTGACTTTAAAAGACTTTTATGACTGATTTAATAGACTAAAGACTGACTTCCCCAGCCAGAAGGAATTCTGCTGGCAGACTGTCTTTGGATTCAGGGTTCAGGTGGCAACTTCTCCCGGAGTCTCCAGCCTGTGGGCCTGTCCCATCAGATTTTGGATTTGCCCAGTGTCCACAATCACATGAGACAATTCCTTGAAAGAAACCACTCTTTATATACACACATCCTATTGGTTTTGTTTCTCTGGAGAACCCTGAATAATCAATAATGTTAGATATTTTATGTAGTATAACAAATACATATACCTATGTGCATACACACACACACGTGTGTATTCAGTGCAGCCATTGAAATGAATGAGCTCTACTGCCTCCATGCAAATTAAAACTAGCCTGGGACCAAGTGAACAGATCAGCCGTTTAAGAAGACACCAACCACACCTTGGTTGTCTCTGGGTTCCAGGGTCAGCACTCAAGAGAGAAGGCAATAATCTCATTTAAACTCTGGAGTCACTTTCTTCTGTGTGAAGGAAACAGAGACTCAATTTGCCTTCCAGGTTCTCTAGGAGACCCTTTGCCTGAGCAATTTTTAAGAGAGGAATGTTTCATGAAGCTAACAGCTCATTTTCATGAATTTTAGGAAGTAACACTATTGTCATTCGGGAAACATTAGATGCTAGATACCCGCCCACACCCCCAGGCTGGGCTTACAGTAGGAGCTTAGTGCTAACAAGAGTTTGGACGGAGGGAGGGCTTAGGATGCGGAGGATTTGCCCTGCTCTTCCGTTGTGACTTTGAAGAGAGCAAGGCTTTGCCTGTCAGGACTCTTCCAGGACGTGCTCAGAGGAGCTGGTAGGCACACCTGGTCAGATTGGTGGATACAGGAGAGGAGAGTGGAAACATGGAAAGGCGATGAAGTTCCTGCTTCCTCTCTGTGGCTCCGAGTTTATCGTGGCCGCTTTCATCCCAAATACATTCTAAGTGAGATAGGGGTAAAAACATTAACTCAAGATTTAAGGAGAAAATGCTTAAACTTGCAGTGCTTTTACTGAGTAAACACTGACTCTGCAAAATAGCTGAACAAATGTTAGCAAAAAAAAGATGTTTTGAAGGAAAAAAAATTTCCGAGTGAATTGGGAATTATTTGGAAGAATAAAAGCCACAACTATGTTAGCAATCCCTTATAGCTTTTGTGGATAAGGAAAAAAAAAAGCTTTGTAACTACAAACTGATTTTTCTATAACTGTGGCAAAGGTCTAGTAAAACATTTCCCAACTCTTCTGTTTTGAGTACTTGTTTGAAATTGTTCCTGAGAAGAAAATGTCCTTTTTACAATTCTGAGTACTTTATTTAGAAAACAGGTTGTGTTTATATGTGTACATACTCACATATGTATAGTTATTTACTGACAAAAGAAGTTTTTATTGCCTTCAGGTTAAAATGTTAACTCTAAGTGTGCTAATCAAAGTAGCAACAGTTTCCATTTGCAGAAATTTGTTATTATTTTTAAAAAATATTATGATACTAAGTAGCTAATTGACCTCCAAGTTGTTCAAGCATCCTTCCTCCTCTGCCCCACATACATGGATTGCCTTAGATTTCCCATTGCCGTGATGTCTGTAAAATCATGTTTAATATAACTTAGACTCTCAAGGCCTGTGAAAGGCAATCATGTAAAATTATTACCTCTTTAAAGTGCTTCTTGGACCTTTGGCAGTGAGTTCTGTGCAAGAACTGCCCTGCATAACTTGCATGCACACAGCTTCCTCAAATTTGAACGCAAACCTGGCCTAGGCATTGGGGCACGTGCTCAGACACTCCTCTGTGTGTGGGGCACGTTCATGCATGTGGTTGATGGAGCCTATTGGTTTTGCCTTTCTCACTCACCCAGCAAGAGATCCTGTATTGTACACCTGAGGACAATTCCTGGCAGCTGTCAGATCTCTTTTGCTTGCTGTCTTAGTAATTCCTGCTGATCTGTTTTCTTCTTCCCCCCTGCGGACTGTGTATAGTATTGTAACACAGCTGGGGAGGAGAGACGGGATTTTCGTGCCTGTGTTGGAGGGATCATTAATTCCACAGATTTGCTAAAAGAAAACTGTGGCTTTACCTCTGACTTTCACATTAGCAATAAGTATTGTGACATCATCTCTTACATTTTACATCTTCCTACTAATTTTATCCTCAAATAGTGTCCTGAAAATACTGAAGTCAGTGCATAGAAAAGGCATTTATTTTGGAAATAGAAAGACATTAGAACACATTATTCCCTTGAAAAATTCAGATGGAACAAGATCAATTAAACATCTGACAATTAGTTTTTAGGTCCTTGGATTCTGTTTAAATGGAGACCACTAGCATTTTTATATTTAAAGAAGTTAAAGGGAACTATAAAATTCTAGCACTGAAAGTATTTAGCTCTTAATCAGCTTCCTTTTTTTACAGATAAATAAACTGAAGTGCGTGGTATGTAGGTGACACAGTGAAGTCACACAGCACAGATGATCACCAGCACAGTAAATATTTCCTAAAAATTGAACTCATGACTTTTCTTCTACATTATGTGATTCCTTCAGAGTGAAGGAGCTTTTGGCTTTAGCAAAATGGAATCAGTCTACCTTTTTAAACCTTAAACAAGAGCAATTCTACACAACTGCTTTCTCTAGTTCTTATCCTTACTAGTTAATAGCATCGTAATTTACCACCCTTACTCTATGCTGTAACATGGTCTTAGTTGTAGAAACTGCTAGACAGATAGTAATAGAAATCAAGAAAATAAGCTGGTTAGGATTTCAGACCTTTCTTTCTTGCAACAAGTTAACCAGAACAAAAACCTATTTGCCAGAAATTCATACAAAAGAAGTCTAACAAATACTGTATTTTTCTTAGCCAAACTACCACTGTTCCCTCAGCAACCTAACAGCTATTCAAGAAAATTGATGAATTTATCAAATGGGGATGAAAAGAAGTATTTTCAAATGCTCCATTCAGCATGGTTTCTAAAACATCTCCGGATTTTATGTAGTAAAACTAGAGAAAAATATGTATAATAAATAGTTCATTTCCAAACCCGACTTTTTATTCAAATCTCTTCTAATTGTTAATTCTAGCTGAAGACACTGCTCACCAGTGTTCTGCGCTGGGTGTCTGCTGTGCCTGTGCTCAGCAGCACTCGAGCAGTGCCCAGTGGCAAATCACCAGGGTGACTAGTACCGAACTCTAGCCATCTGGGATTTCTGTGAATATGCAGGAGTGGCCTCAAGGACTTGGATCTTTTACAGGAGAACAGCAATAAGTTGAGTCAGCTTGAGCCCTAAAACAGTTCCCGAGCCAACTGCTCAAAAGTGGGTTCATGTACTTACTCATCCCAGATTTGTGTTGCATCTAGATCCTTTCCCAATACCATTAAGAAGGATTTAGAGTCAATACCAAACTGTCATCTTTTTGTTTTTATCCTACTTGCCCATATAAGATGACATACAGCAACTGGGGTAAACTGTCTTGGATAGCATAATGCTAATATATTTTTCCTCCTTTATTTTGTATATGTAATCCATATTCTTGAAAACCCACCAAAATCCAAGGTATTTGGAAAACTACTTTTCCAGATATAAAATGCAAGTATATCAGATACACACACAGACACACACAGGTTTCAATTTAATTCAATAAACATTAACCACACCTGTTATGTGGCTAGCAGTATGTTATCACCTATGCATATGATGAGCATAAACATAACCCAGTGCATCAGACCTTAACTATTCACGTTAATCAGTAGAAAAGCCATACATATGAAATTAGGAAAAGGAACAATAACACAATATAACGTGTCAAGAGGTTAAGTGCTCTAGACATTGTAGGCATCTATTGCTGATAATTGTTATGAGACAATGCATTAGCTCTAATTCTGCAGTAATGATTACATTTTAGATATTCACATAAACTGATTATTTTTTAGTTAAAATAGTTTCAAATGTGTCAGTTCTTCTGGCCAGTGAACTCCTTACAGGAAGGATACACGATTATAGTCACTTGATATCCTTGATTGACTAAGTTTTACAATGATGAAGTGGGAAAATAACTAATGCTCCAGAAATCTGCCTTCTGCTTCTAGAGTATTCAACTTTTTTTTATTATTGGCTCTCACAGTGCACCTAGACACTATAAATATCAATAGTAAAATATATTTAATGTGAATATAAAAAAGTTTTAGCTTCATTGAATCCTGAATTTGTAAAAATCATTTTAATTCAGAATGAAAATAAGTCAAGCTACCCAGATATAATTTAAAAGATTCAAAAGATTTTAGAGTACGTATGAAATGATTCAATAATTCATAAATGTTTAAAATAAATCCCTGATCGATATTTGAGACCGTAGAATATTAAGTGCCTGGTGACCTTGAAATACAGCAACCAAACAAATATTTTAATGAGATGATTTAGGAAATATACTTGTAAAAGTTTCTCTAAGGGCAAACACCACTTATTAATTTGTTTAATCTAATTTAGCCAAGGATTTGCATTCCCTGTGAGATTGTTTCTTATCTTTTAAATTTTACTCAGAGCCCCATCCTTATACCACCTCCTTTCCAATGTCCAGCTGGTGAAATGAGCCTCTAATTATTTTAACTGATGAAAACAAGGAAACTCAGTGAGGTTTCCTCACTACCTGTCCCTTTATTCCTCCGTGTCATTTAGTACCTGCTTTTTCACCTGCACAGGGAGCTGTGTCTTCTGACAGGGCCAAACTTCTCCCTGCTATCCTTGGACTCTCCCTCGGGACCCTGCCACACAAGCCATCCGCTCCCTTATGCTGCCTTGTCACCTGCAAACATTGGATTCCATTTGTAAAACCAATCTCTGTATGACACCTTTCCTTTATGGCTATGCTCTTTTTTTAAACAACGGGCATCCCCCCCACCCCCCTTTCTCCCTGCATTTCTCTGCACAAACAGCTTTTCTTTTCTTTCTTCCTTTCTTAGCTCCTCTGAGCCTGTGTGGTCTGGGCAAGCGGGCGGACCCTGCAGTGTGAGCACAGGGAGCGAGCACCTACCGAAACGTGGGCGTGCTGCCGCTTTGAAGGCCTGTGGCCGGGGGCTTGTCACTCCGAGAACTATAATCCAACACCTTCCTCAGCCGCCCTGCTCTTCCATCAGCTTCCCAAAGGCTCCTCACGCTTCTCCCTGAGTCCAGTCCCTCTGCCTTCTAATCACCCTGCTGCAGGCACCGTCCTAATGCCACCTTCCCCTGAGGATTCGGTTCCTTCCCTCCGAGAGCCTCCCCGGTGCCTGCTGTTGAGCAAACCTCCCCGCCCGCACCGGGCACTCACACTGCAGCCAGGTCTCAGCCTCGGCGAGACTCCACAAGCCCTCGTCTGCACCCCACAATTAAGCCAGCCTCCACTGAGTTCCACTCACTGCCCTGGACGTTCCAGCCTCTGTGCTGGACTTTCCTGACCCCCAGGAGAGGCCTACCAGACATGCTCAGAGCTTCAAAGGCCAAATGGTCCATTGTGTTTTGCTAGCCCAGCGACGTTGTCTGAAGATCTGCAAGTTTTCACTGGAACCTCCCGACATCGATCCTGTTCTTGGATTACCCTTGCCTGTGCAGGCTATTTGAAGGGGGCCACTAGGTCCCTGGGGCAGAAGGGTGAACACCAAGCCGAAGCACTTAGGTTTGAAACCGGCTCTTCTTTCTCTGTGGCCGCAGGCAGGGTACTTCTTGTCTTTAGTCACCAGTTTCCCCAGATGGGAGATTGGAATAAACACTCCCTCACAGACTTGTGGAAAATTACACCAGAGAGCAAAGAAGCACCCAAGCATGTTTGCAGATTTGGATTTTTTTTGTCCTATCAGGTCGAAACTGCTGAGGTTAGGCTGAAGCCGTCTGTGGAAATAAACATGTCCTTTTTTTGCTCATTTTTGTTTTGACAGGCTATAGAGTATAAATGCAAACATCTGAATATTTCACATTTATTCTTATTTTTCTCTAGGGAAGCAGAAAAAGAAAACTGTTAATTTATTCTTCCTTGAAATGCAGAAGGAGGGAGGGAAGGAAAGAGGGAGAGGGAAAGAAGCGAGCAAAGGAGAAAAGCTGGGGGAAGGTGGGAAAAAGGGAGAGGGAGGCAGAGGGAGAGAGATACTGATGCTTTTCAATGAGAAAAGTAGACTATTACTCAAGTGAAACCACAGAGGTGCTTCAAATGTTGTACTTAATAAAGCCCAATTCCTTCAGATTTGAAAATTCTACAAACACAGGCCAGCCTGCAAGTCCAATGAGTATTTCCCATCTACTCCCCACTGCTATTCCCCCAGCTTTCTGAAGGAACCTGCTCGTATATGACTGAAAGAATCTTAAGCAACAGCTTGCCTTTTTTAACATGACTTGGCCAGGAGTTGTGAATGTTGGCTGAAAGGCCTGGGTTAACAGTGACCAGCCGACACACCTCACAACTTAGCACTGAGTAGGGCTCTGAGCCAAATTGGGCCCCCACTCTCTGCAGAAAAGAGTTATCCTAAATACCACAGCAAAGGAAGTGGGAAGGTTCTGTTCTAATCATGCAAGTGAAGCTGGCTAAATTCTATCATTTTCTAAGCCTCCCACAATGAAAACAGCTATAAATGTAAGAAAACATCCCAGGACCTAACTTACACATAATATTACTGATTCCATTCCCTTTCTGGATGCTGAAGACATCCCCCCAAAGAAGCCCACAGGTCTCTCAATCTACAACAGAGCTTGGCTTTGCATCAGTCATCTTTAGAAAACCTAAGAACTTCAAAATGCATTCATCTCCAGTGAACTACATCTTTGTAATATATTCATCTTAGTATTTTGGCAAAGTAGCCCCATGTCACTAGCTTAATTGGTGGCAGGTTATTTTCCAGTTGTCAAATGACCTTTTCCTATTTAAGAGTCAGAAATAAAAACATTCACTCATAAAGGAACTGAACAATTTGGAACACAAACAACATAAGTTTTTATTTGAAAATCAATTTCCATTTAAGTAAAATGGCAAATCAGGTAGAGTAGCTTCTTACTACTAATTCTAATTTGCACTCACAGTCACTTTTACTCATCATATTCAAAGTTATTGCTACAAAGAACTCTTTCACAATGTATTTAGAAAAAATATATACAGTCTCTCCAATAAAGTTAATTAAAATAACAAAGCCAGGCAATATAAAGCTAAGATAGGAAACAAACTGACATTTATAAACACAAATAAATAAAGATGTACAAAAGAGTCTGTGTAACCATGGACAAAGAAAAGCTTTACATGCAAGTAATGGTGACATGGAAAATTTCTTAGGCTCTCAGACTAAGACTCAAACACAAGACAGTTTAAAAAGAGGAAAAAGAAGGAAAAAATAATCTGAATCTGTATTATTCTCAAAGTTAGGCTAAACTAAATTTTGGCTCCACAGCTAAATTCCTGTAATTCTGTTTTGAGGAGGTAAAATGAAGGTGAGAACTATATGCTCGAACTGAGGGTAGAATTAGGCTCAGTCTTTTAAATACACTATTCAGCTGTCTGTTCGTTTCTCCTTCCCGGGTTACTGGGACATTTCTAAAGTGGTGTTGAAATGTGAAAAAAATGTTTTCCCAGATCTGGATGAATATGAGTAGAAATCAAAGTCATTTCTGAAGCTATCTTTTAATTACTATTAACTAAATAGGCACTTTGGGTAGAAATTTCACAGTAGAAAGCTAATTAAACTCTATCATGAATCTCTAAGGCTTGGGGGAAAGTATAAGAAGATTCAGTAACTATTTAAGATTAATTTTCATCTATATGTAACCTCTGACAGAATAAGCAGCCTGTGAATAGATATGCCTAAAGAAAAGACTTGGCTCTACTGTGGTGAATCTTAGTGACCTTAAGATTTACTACCCTTTCCTACTATATACACCCCTCCCCTGTGAAAGCCAAGCTGGGCAGTGCTCATGTCTCCCGCGACAGTGTTCCAGCCTGCTGCAAAATGGAATGGTAATAAAAACACACTAGCACATTATCTTATCATTCATTCAAGTCTGGCAAATAGCTTCATGTCTGAAAATCAGCAGAAAGTGAAAGGCCCCTTGCTTGCTGCATAGCCTGAAAGTTCTCTAATGTCTCAGGCTCAGAGCTACCTGTTCACACAGAAGGAAAGGCTCCCAGGTATTCAGTTCTGGCTTCAGCCTTTAGGCAGATTGGCTGTGCCAGGTATCTCATCTTCTTACCACTTAGGTTGTTCACCTCCCAGAATCTGATGATTCCCAGATTACCAGAGGAAATCAATGCAAAGGCAGAGCATGTACTGAGACCAATTTCTAAGAAACTGGATATGACTCCATCATTGACCAACAATTAAAATGCAGTCCCCCTTACATATTCACTAGCAAGCATATTACTCAGGATAGTTGGAAATTAGGTAGGCTGCTTAATATGCATGGCTTGTATGAGAAACCTAATCTATAAATAACACATCATCTATCTTGCCAGACCTATTCTGGCTCTTATATTATGTACAAATACTTTATAGACTAGCAATTGTAGACTCACATGTTTATAAATTATTTTGATTATGGTAAGTCATTGCTATATCTAAATTTATACTCCTTGGAGCAAAACTCTTGGAACAGGCAGTAAGAGGCTTTTCAACTGCAAATGGAAAAGTCTGTAGAGCAAGGACAAGACCATAGGGTATCAATGATTGTACTTCCTATATGGGAGAGACTCTGTACACAGCATGCCAAATAGACATTCTCATTCCCTGCATGAGCCTGTGGGCTCAAATACAGTATAGGAGCAAAATCAGAGTGTACTGAGACCTCCACATTAAGGGAATGTCAACACTAAACTTGACTAAATGGATGGGATTAAATTATAATTAATGGTGATGATTTAAGCCTTGTGTCTTTAATTGAATAAGTGAAATAGTAGAAATTTACATGGTCTCTCATTAACAAGGTCAAAATTTTGGGAATTCCTTTTCTCTTAAGCAAATTATGGTTTTGAAGTTTAAACATTTGACAAAATAAGAAGTTCCTTTCTAATCTTTAGGTCAGACATTCTTTTGTATCTATTGCTGAAATTTCACTGAAAAAGAGGAAATGCTACAGCATTCATAGAAACCAGCACTGAGAAGGGACTTGTGGGCATCCCAGAGTAGTTATAAATATTAGTATGCTTTTGATTGTTGAGAAAGATAATGGAGCAAGTGGCTATCTCCAAACCTAACTACGATGAGGTGGGGTGTGGATGAGTAATAAACTGGAGATTGTCTCCCTTCTGCGTCTCCCTTCTCCTCTAATTTTAATGTCTCCCTCCTGAGTTCTGATTAATCTAATCCAATTACGTATTTTAAAAACACTGTATCCCCTATGGCTACTGAGTTATGCTACCCTCAGTACTGAAGTTTGTGATGGTGGAAATTCCCTCATGGAAGAAATACTCTAGAAAGAGAAACTGTGAATTTTACAAAAGCCTCAACAAAATACATTCCTCATATACATGCAGTTACATAGGTAACAGCATATTTACATCTGCTGGTCATAGTTCTCACTGCTTGCAGATCTTCACGTCTCTACAGACTGACTCCTCTTTCTTATATTGAAGACATTAAAACTTTGTGCTATGGCTGAAGGTGTCTGACATGATAATATTTTTATAGAAGTTATCTGAATGAGCATTGCAATAACCCTTGACCTTATCAATGACCTGATGGACAGGTAAGATTGATGTCTGTTCTCCATCAGCATGGGTCAGTTTTGATGAGGACTTGTCCACGGAAGCACTGTCTGCAAGAAATAACATAAGAAATTAGGCTGCAAGATAAGCTGGTGACATACCTTAATGCCACCAGACTGGACACGGTATTTTGCACAAAGGAAATGAAACTCTGCTTCTTTCTTAGGTAGAATAGGGAACACTAAAATTCCATGTTTTTCAACTCCAAAGGGCATTCCCATATGTGAGTGAATGTTAAGTTGCCTTCTAGAAATTTGTGCTGGGGTTTGTCTTAAGAAATATTCTTATAAGTGGCATTTTTCAAAGAGCCAATGAATAGAACAATCAGAAATTTGCTGCAAAAGTATATGTGGCAAATTGATCAAAAGAAGTGACAAACTATGCAACAAATGAATTAAAAGATGCTAAAATATTAATGGAATAAATGATATGATGTCTGAGATGTTTTTCAAATACAGTGGGTAGGTAGAGGGTAAAATGGGTAGGTGGCTATTTACCCATGAATGGTAAAATGTGTAGGTGGATTAGTTGATAGGTACAAGGGGATTCATTATACTATACTTTTTTATAAATATTTGATACTTTTCATAATAAAAATAAAATACAATTTAAAGAAATTTGAGGTGAATGAAAATAAATATTAAAAGGCTATATGGAACACATTTTCCCATGGTTTTTAGCTTGTGAAATGATTGGAATATAGAATAAAGGCATCTTTTATTAAGAAGCAATATCAGAAATATCTTAAGTATAGGTTTTCATTATCTACGCTACAATTTCAGAATGCTTTGCTGATAACAAAAATTTTATTGTAGTAATAAAGGCCTGCCAAACATATTTCTCTGAAACTCACTTAAGGTTTATTATCTACAAATACATATGGCTGTCTGCATGTACCCTAAAGTATCTGTCCTTCCTCTCCCAACACATCTTGGAGAATAATTTTACCCTAAAATAACCACAGAGGTTTCACACTGATGAAGGAGCAAATATGACTTCTACAACGTTCCCTATAGTTTTATCTTATCTATTCACTGTGGAAAAGGCAAAAAGTCTATTATGCCAAAGTGTTTCTAGGAATCATGACTCCAAAATTGGAATGCTCAGTATAAGTGTTTCGAGTAAGTTGGACCTAGTTTGTGGACATAACATTAAAAGTCCATCAATAATTGGCAAAAGCATCATCAATATATCTGTTGTCTTTGGAAATGACTGAAACTGTTCAACTGTTGTCTTGTGTTGGAGCAGACACTAAATAAAACAAAGGCTAAAACAGGAAATGGTATGTTCATTCCCACACTAAAAGAAGCAAGAGAGAATGGACAGCTTATGGGAAGAATGGGCAGGCTGAAGCATGGCAGGTGACTATGTCCCCGGATTGGCGAGGACAAGCTCAGGGAGTCACTGTGTAAGGGCCGCTCCCCAGTTTGCTCTCAGCAAGCTGACTGATTCTGTGCTTTCCTTCAGTTCATCTATTCACTAGCCATTGGTTTTCTGCTGGGGATTTTTCTACGAAATTGTATCTGAATAATTAACAATTCATGCTTGATGTTTTTAGGAAAAAAAATCACACATCCTCAAAGAAACTTCAAGAATATACTCATTCTGCTTCATTGACAATCCAGAAACATGTGCTTTTAGAGATTTTTGACTACCTCCATTTCAAACATGTTGACCCAATTTTCTGGGTCCTCAGTCTAATTAAGTAAAATTCTGATCAAGGGCTGTATTTCAATATATATGCTATTTCCAATCCTCTGGTTAGATATTATATACTGGGCAATATAGATTTTGATTATAGCTGCAAGTCAGAAAACCAGGGGCTAGGGAAATGAACTATTATTTTTAACCTATGCTGAAATCTCAAGCACATAAAATTTCTCAAAAAGCAGGCTTGAATTGACAATTTTTATTTCATGACTTCTATGAATGTACCATGACACATCTAGTAATTCATGAGAGCAGTGGAAAAGTAAAGCATTTCACTCCCTTCTAAAACAAATCTCTCAAGTGCCTTTTTTTTTTTGCTTTTTTCCATTGTTTTACCTGATATGTGACCCACTAACTTTCAGAGCATGGTACATTTCTTAGAAGGAGAAGCTTGCAGACACCCCAAGCAGAGAAGAGCCAGTATAGCAAATGATCATTTGAAATTTCAGAAATTCCAGCTCAATGCAGGAATGTCACTGTGCTAGCTGAGTAATATTGTAAAGAACAAGCAATTTTGCTGGTGCAGCAACAGTCTCAGTTTAATCCATGCAGATGTTCTCTTATTACCTTGCAAAAAAAATCATGCATTCAAAAAAGTAATAAAAGTTTACCTGAATGATCCACTTTTGTTGAAGGAATGCTCTTAGAAGACATTATCTATACCATAAACATATGAATTTCTAGATCAATTCCAAGAAACAAACCAACTAGATATCTGTGATGATATGCAGTGACTTTTTTCATACTCCAAGTGACCCCAATACACCAGCAGTCCCACTGGGAACTGGCGAGGTAGCGGGCCATCGGCACATTGGTTGATTGGAACCCAGAATTTACTGTATCACGGAAGTAACATCATATAGCTATGCCTTATGCTAGTTGACAAGAACTCATTTAATCCCAAGGCATTTGTTACAGGAAACAGTAGTTTTGCATTCTTAAAGAAAAACACACATTTTGAAGTAGTTAAGCTTTTCTTTGGTACCTCTCTTTCAGCCCTTCCTTTTATCTTCCAGTCACTTTTCCTCATAATCTTAGTATTTCCAAATATTTCATTTATACTTCTAAATGCTCCTTGTTACAAATTATCTATCTTGTTATCTCTCCCCTTTTAATAATGTCATCCCTTCAGGGTAGTAATTCTTAGCTGTGTTAAGAGGAAAACAATTCAGTTCGTCTAATTCCTTTTATTCATAACTGACTTATAATTCATCACCTATTTACATTTTAGAAGGGGAGGCTAAGTGGGTACCTAATTTTAAGGCTGATGAAATAGAGTGAAAAATGTATTAATTGTTAAGTGAAAGATATTTTGTGCCAGGAACTACCAGTTAGGTAGACTATATTCTATCTCAGCCTATAAAACTGTTGTCAATTTTCTTACACAGATCCCTCAATTTAGGCAGAATTGTTTGTATACAGGACTCAAAGGCTGCCCTTATTCTGGAAAAGAGTTTCTAGGTTTATATGATTCTCAAAAGTGTCACTGACCCCAAGAAACTCTAGGAACTGCTGTACTAAGTTGCTCTAAGTTTTCAGATCTTTAATTAATTTTGGAATTAACAAACTCTCTTAACACTGAAAACTTTTTTTCACAGCGCTCTCTTGCATCCCAGGCATAGCCACTCTAATGACAAGGCACAGAGAGTGGTACAAACAGGGACACATGGAAAAGTACATTGGGGGGCATTTGAAATTCAAGTGTTTGTAATGTGAACATTTACAGACACATCACACAACACATTCCCTATTTGCAAGAAGCCAAATAAGAATCTTTTCTGGGTCATTGGCCTCTGCATATGTTTCATAGCTAAACAAATTCAAAATTAAAACCCGTTATCTTTTTTAGGAGTATTTTTAATTAGGAAAGTGCTGTGTGCTAAGTGTTGACAGCTGTTTGCTTGAGGCTTCCTTTGTATTTAAAAGTAGCGATTCAATTATTGAAAGATGACCTTTTCACACCACTCATTGGCTATCAAGTACTGTAAAGCAATCTTTATTTTCACACTGTCTTCAGTATTATTCCTTCACATTCTCAGTGTCAGAACATGTAGTCATTGTAAATACCATGAAGATACAGGAGATGAATGAAGAACAGTGTTTCTCACCATCTGTATTATTTTTGAAAAATGATGCTCTCTACTCTTTCATATTGAATCAGTGGTTTAAAGAGTAATTGCCAATAACACTTCCAATCATAATTTCAGTAAACACTTAAGGACTTAAGTCTTAAATATAACATACATCTTGGATGGTGTTTCTTCCTATTCCCATGCCAACCTGCCAAGTAACTTTCTCCTACACTGAAATCATTGGCAACTCGATTTCTATATTTTTTAGATAAAAATTCATAACTTTTTAAACAGGATACCATAGTCTTTTTAAGAAAAGTAAGTTCTTTTTAAGAAAATGTAATTGAATCAAATGCAGTCACAGTAATATCCAGAGTTAATGATATGGTCAACAATTTTGGTTGTAAAGTTCTAAAAAAGAATATTCACAAAGGTGCTGAATAAGGTCTTTAAATAGATTTTGATTTTTATAAATCTAAAATAAGCATACTGATGGGCATTGTAATCTAGCAATCTTCATGATATGCAAATTTTGGCAATGAGATGTAATGAGGACTATATCAGAGAACACCTTTACCACTGTCAGAATGACTCACCTGTGTGGCTATTCCTTTTGAAGTAGGTGGTAGAGCTGGATTTAGATTTGGATGTAAGATAGGTTGAGTTGGAACCAATGGAGCTTGAGGACAGAGATTTTCCTAGATTATCAGAACTTTTCTTGATGATATTAGTAGCTGTTTTACTCCAGTCTGAAAGAAATACATCTCTCCATGAATCCACTAGATAGGGAATGTGTTCTGCCCTAAAGAATCATCACTACATTACTGAAGTAATTTATCCAGAGCATTAAATTTTCTGATATATTGGCAATGGCTCAGAGAAGAGACTGACATGTAAATAATAAACTGAAGAAACAGATAAATGTCTTACTCTATGACCTTGTATGTGTTGTTTAAAATCTTACTTTAATATTCTAAGGGTGAGAAGCAACCACTGATGGTAAAAAAAAAAAAAGGAAATACTTTCCTTAAT